TTCCTGCTGCCTCTCCCAGCCACGCAGGCCGTCAGCATGTCCTGAGGACGGCCCTCACGTCCAGTTTAAAGAAACCCCATGGCTGGCTCTCACGTGTGGCGCGTGAGCACCCTGAGCTGCGCTGTAAGCACTTTGCAGGCTAACCCTGCGAGCTGTCAGTTCTCGGACCGACTCCTCTGCACGAAGCTGGCCAGGGGGCCTGGTTGCCTGCGCTTCCGCTGGGTTCGGCCTGGAGGGTTTTGTGCAGATCAGAGTCTGCGGTTTGCTGGCGTCTCCCGTGTTCACCCTGTGGATCAGGAACCGGCAGGTCGCAGCCCACGGGCCACGTCTGGGCCAGCCCACTGGTGCGTGTGATTGTCCACGACCACTTCCAAGTCGTGTGCAGAGCCGGCCGGCGTGGCTCAGGGGTTGAGCGTGGACCCATGAACCAAGAGGTCACAGTTCGATTCCTGGTCAGGGTACATGCCCCGGTTTCCAGCTTGATCCCCAGTGCGGGGTGCGGGGGGTGGGGGGGCGCACGTGCAGGAGGCGGCCGGCCCATGATTCTCTCCCATTGATGTTTCTATCTCTCTCTCCCTCTCCCGTCCTCTCTCTCTAAAAAAGTAAATAAAAACCTATATATTTTTTTTAAAAAGTGTGGCTGAGACCCTGTGACCCTCCGAGCCTGAGCCTTCTGTCTGGCCTCCCAGGAGGGGTGCTGCCCCCTGCTGGTGTGTTTGAGTGGCGCACCTGTGTGCCCTCCTGTCCTGGCAGGGCGGGCGATGCCCTGGACTGTCTGGCCCTCCCAGAATACTTGTCTTAACTCCTGTGTCTTTTGCTTCCTTTCCTGCCCAGGGTCCCTCCTCTACTGTCACCCCCGTGGGCGGGCCCACGGCTCGGTGGGAACCGGCGGCACCATGAGTGAGGTGAGTGTCCCGGGTGCTGGCTGGGAGCACACGTTCGGTTCACTGTGGCTCCTTGAAAACTGCCCGGCAGCTAACTCTCCCTCCGCCCGTCCCCAGGAGTCAGGGAGCTACCTGGACGCCTACGACGACTACAACGCCACGACGGACTACGCGGTGGACCCCCCCGTCCTGTGCGTCCTGAAGGACGTCCGCGACTTCTCCCGGCTCTTCGTGCCCGTCACTTACTCCTTGGTCTGTGTCTTCGGCCTCCTGGGCAACGTCTTGGTGGTGCTCACCTTCGCGTTCTACAAGAAGGCCAAGTCCATGACCGACGTGTACCTCCTGAACATGGCCCTGGCGGACGTCCTGCTCGTCCTGACCCTGCCCTTCCGGGCGGTGACGCACGCCACGGGCCAGTGGGCCTTCAGCAGCGCCCTGTGCAAGCTGGTGCGCGGCGTCTATGCCGTCAACTTCCACTGCGGCATGCTGCTGCTCGCCTGCATCAGCCTGGACCGCTACGTGGCCATCGTGCAGGCCACGCGGTCCTTCCGCCTGCGGGCCCGGATGCGGGCGCACCACCGCGCCATCTGCCTGGCCGTGTGGGCCCTGTCCGTCCTCATCTCCACCGGGACCTTCATCTTCAGCCAGAAGTACCGGCTGCAGGACCGGGAGGTGTGCGAGCCCCGGTACCAGGAGGTCTCTGAGCCCCTCCGCTGGAAGCTGCTGCTGCTGGGCCTGCAGCTGCTGTTCGGCTTCTTCGTCCCCCTGCTGTTCATGATGTTCTGCTACCTGTTCATCGTCAGGACCCTGCTGCAGGCCCAGAACTCCAAGCGGCACAAGGCCATCCGCGTGGTCGTCGCCGTGGTCCTCGTGTTCCTGGCCTGTCAGGTCCCTCACAACGTGGTGCTGCTGGTGACGGCCGTGAAACTGGGCAAGGTGGGCCGGTCCTGCCAGCGCGAGAAGGCGCTGGGCTACCTGGAGACGGGCACCGAGGTGCTGGCCTTCCTGCACTGCTGCCTCAACCCCGTGCTCTACGCCTTCGTGGGCCAGAAGTTCCGGAGCTACTTCCTGAAGATCGCCAAGGACCTGCTGTGCGTGGGGCGGCGGTAACTGTTTCAAGGAGATATTTGGAGACAGAGAACTTCTTTCTTCATTTCAACCCAAACCCCTCCATTTTTAATTTTTTTTATATTTCATCTAAGATTTCTTTCGAAACAAGGATTTGGAGGGTGGGGTGGAGGC